GACTGCAAAGGGTGAAAAATCTTGAAGTCTGTATAAAATTGGAGGTAGTTTGAGGATCAAATTTTTTATGCTTTTTAAGCTCAAAAAAAGGGGGTCGTATATACATGAGATTGTATTATACACGAATAAATACGGTAAGTATTAAAAGTAAAAGTGTTGAGTAAAAACGAGAGGCTAGATTTGGTGTATATTAATACTTCTCGTCCAACCACAATTAAATTCAAAGGCACAGTTTATCAGGGTAGATTTTTTTTTCTTTTAACAATAATGAGCCGGAATGAAATGAGTAATGACTTTCTATTTATTACATTTTTTTAAAATGTAGGAAGTAGAAAGTACAGATAATTGTGTAAAAAAATAAGGAGTAGAAGTAAAAAGTTGGCTGAAAAAATTTTACTCAAGGAAAGTGCAGATTGCCCAAATTTCTACTTAAGTACAGTAACAAAGTATTTGTACTTAGTTACTTCACACCTCTGGTTTTGTTTTCTTTTTTAGGGGAGTTAAAGGAAGAAGTACCATGTGGCAACAACACGCCTTCTCGCCTGTGTGCGGATGGCTCAACGTGTCATCCTGGCTGGATCGGACCGAACTATGGCATCACCCAGTTTGATAACATCCTGTTTGCTGTTCTCACCGTCTTCCAGTGCATCACAATGGAAGGATGGACAGAGATGCTCTACTTTGTAGGTTTAGCAGTGCCAAACCATGCGCCTAAAAGATGGTCAAATCACACAGTTTAGCACGAGTACATTCTATATGACATTGTCCCCTCGTTGTTCCTAAATAAGCCAGAAATGGTTAGATTCAAATGCAAATAGATGCAAATAGTAAAATGAGTTGTAATGCTTTGTTATTATTATATTCTATTCTTTCTTCTTTTCCTCTTTTTATTTGAGTTTCTGGGAACTGAGAATCACCAGAATTAACAATCAGATGCTGTAATTTTCTGCCACTTGATAGGGTTCTGTCACTGTCTGAATCAAACTCGCAAACTTGTCCACCTCACAATCCATCGTTGAGCTGAAAATTTTCTCCACATTTGGATCTCAATGCCAAAGTACTTTCTAAACTGTGAACATTGTGTACCAACACACTTCCACTACAGCTATTGTTGTCGTAAATTGTGGCAGCAATAAACCCAGGTTGCAGTCTGGCTCAAGAAGGTCAAACAAAAGTATTTATTAA